TCACTGAAGTGCTGTTAGATATGTAATTTGATATTTGTAGGGTCTGTGATTAACTCCTGATCAAGTTTGATATTGTTAAACTTAACTGGATCTTTATGTTGATTTAAGATACTGTTTAGCATTGATGTAGGGTTGGTTTGAAGTTTGGTATATCTTTTTGAAATAGCTTCTGTAATTTGTTGGCGTGTTTGTTTAATGTTCTCTAAGTTTCTTGTATGGAATAACTTCTTCCATTCCGGGTTGGCTTCAACTATCCAATCTACTAGAGGTTGAACTGTAGTATGAGTAAAGGTATTTCTAGATGGTGTATACTATTAAGCTTTGTTATTGTATTGTTAAAATGTATAGGAATTTGAGAACCAGATTTGATTGAGCATTTTACTGTTCTTATTATATACCCGAGCTTCTTAAGACTATAGTGAAGCTGAGTAGCCTTGGCAGAGAATGTATGGTGGAAGTTGTGGACTGTGAAGCGCTTGTTAGGAATATGTATGAGTGCTGCTGTAATTAGACTAATTTGGATTTTGTGCCAAGTTGTTTCCGGAGACTCAGAGCTTGTAGGTATAAGTGGTGTATAGTGTAGCAATAAGTTTGAGCTAACTTTACTTGCAAAGTTCTTCCACTCTTCTTGGTTTATTGTTTTGTAGTCAAAGACTCTTCTTTGGGTACGAGTTTTATGTCTTTGTTGTCCTGTTGTTGCATATGGAAAAAGCCAACGAAAAATTAGGATTTTGTGGTCACTTGAAATACTTGTATCAGGGTCATCAGTTTCATAATCAGTAAGGTATTAAAGAATTGGTCGGTATACCCAAATGTAGTCAATTTCACTACTAAGATTGGCTCTGTGCCAGGTTGGAGCTGACTTGTTAGAGTGTAAAGCCAAATTATATATATTGTTATATGCCAGATACTAAAAGAGCTTATATTTGATTAACTAGAAATGAATATTATTAGTAGAGGCATTGAAGTCTTCTAGAGTTATTGGAAGTTTTTTGTTTGGGCTTGCTGCAGCTATTGGATTACTGTATTTTGAACTTGTAGTCAGAGCTGTGCATCATTGCTAGGGAGATAGAGAGAGATTATGTAAAATTTGAAGTCATATTTAAAGAAAAGATCAATTGCAATAGCATGTCCTGCTACTATGCTTATGTTGTGAATATGTGGTACTAAGTTATTTCAGATTATTATTGCAGTTTCTGCTTGGGAGCTATCTGTGCATGACCATAGGTAGATATAGTGTTGGGTTTTATTTCGTTTGTAGCAGATTGTTTCATTTGAAAGTTTGGTTTCTGTGATACTAATAATATCAAGATTGTGTTGTAGGCAGTAATGTTCCCAGGTTTTTTTCTTGGTATTGTTGTTAAATCCTTGTATATTGTGTGTGCAAATAGAGAGTGTTAGGGGGTGAAGAGATGTGAAGTTCGTATTAGTACTCATTAAGTTAGTTTGTATTCATTAGTGCAGTATTGCCTGGTGGGTTGGAGTTGGATATTTCAGTGAGTATATTTGTGGTGTTTACTATTTGAGAAGTGGTACTAGCTAGTAATTGAACTGTACTAGAAGATGGAGGTGGATCTACAGCATTGCTAAAGATTGTCCAGCTAGGTTTTGGTAGAGGTGGTAGCTCCAGAATAAAGTCAGAGATTGTTTTGATTGTAAAGTGTTGTCTTAGCACTTTCATAGTAGTGTAACTTCTTCTTAGGACTGGATTGGAAGTTTTAATTTGATGCTACGAGCTGTAAGTATTTTTCTTATTTCTGTGACTTCTGCTGGGATTTTAGGAAGAGGTTGTGGAGTGTCAGATGAGTTCATTTTGCTTTCAGTTTTGCTGGTTGGAATTTGAATCCAGTCAGATGGTAACTAAGAGAAGAAGATGTATTTCCTCAGTATTTTAGCTGTACTAGTTAGCTGCTGGGGAGTAGTGATAGGGAGGGTAATTTCAATATCTTTAGGGAGTTGGTTTGCCTTAGGTAGATATAGTTTATCAGTAGGGTTTGCTTGTAAAATCTCTGTAGATAGTGGAAGTTTAAATCTGTATTGTGGTACAATTTGTTGCATGAATTTCTTAACCTTTGTGTCGCTTGTAATTGGGAAGGAGAATTGGGTACTTGTACAGATCTTACTAGAATCTGTTGAAAGGAGTAGTTTGGTGACAAAGTAGTCTTTTGATAGAAGTTTAAATGTGTAATATTCTCTGACTTGGGTTACTACTTGCTTCAGCATTAGAGTTGAGGTAGCTGGGTTGTATGAAAATAGGTTACGGACTTTTGGATTAAGCTCCTGGTATGTTGTAGGGAGTGGCTGCTTAGGAGGCGGAAGGTCAAAGTAGCTGTCTGGAATTTGTACTACCATGTAGTGATTAGCAAGCTTTCTCTTGTAGGCACCTAAGTACTGAAAGGTTAACCTATGAGAGATGGGAAAGAGTTTATGTAAATCATCTGGGAGGCTGTTGTAGTTGGCAGGAAGTGCAGGTAGCATGGCAAAGTAAGAGGATAGAAGTTTAGAGAATTTGTAGAGCTTTCTTAGTGCATTAACAATTGCTCTAGTTTGTGATCTTTGTTTAATAAGAAGATTAAATGGCAGAATTTCTTGGATTTCAGGAGGAATTTTGTTTGGATGATTGGGAAGTTGTTCTAGTTTGTCTTCAAAAGCTCTATTAATCTCTGCTTTGATATCTTTGGGTGTATTTTCATTTTCATTAAAAATTCTTAGGAATCCTCTTGCATAACGAATTGTCTCGTATATAGATTTGGGAGTGGCTCTTGTAGTATTAATGTTGGATAGATATTGGGCAATAAGCATTTTCCTTAGCATTGAGTTGATAGTATTCTGTATTGCTTGGTTAGTTATTGTAATGTTATTGTTCTCTTTATAGATTGAGAGGGCTTTGTTAAATAATGCATTGAATTCTTTTTGATATGCAAGTGTAGTCTTGGGGTTTCGGGTAAAGATAGTGAAGAACTGGGTATCGCAATAGAGCTAGATAGCAGTAGGTAGAGTGTATTGGGTTTGGTTGGTAGCTAGCTTGTAGCTGATAAATTGGTAGATTCCTGCTAGTGTAGTAATTGCTTGTAAAATAGCATTATATGTTCAGATATTGTTGTCGAATGCGGTATTGGTAGGCTTTGAGATCTTGCTTGTAATAACTTGGGCAAATTCCATATCATCTGAGGTGTCGATTATGAGTGAGGCAATATTAGTTTTGGTAATCTGGCTGTAGAGAGGCTTGAATGGGGCTGGTGCGCTATTAGTAGTAGTCTTGTTAGCCTTGTTAGGAATAGTGGTGAGAGGTGAGATATTTCTAGCTTGCTTTCTATTGGTAATAGCTGCAAGTAAAGGAGGTGGATTTTGCCAAGTGACAGATGCCAAGGCAGATGTAATTTGGCTCAGAGGTGTGGATAGTCTAAGTACAAGATTGGTAGTGTGATGTTGTGTAATCTGAGGTGTATTGGGTGCTATTGTGTTAGTAATAATATTTGTATTCATTGATACAGGAGTAGTTTTGGCTGAGTTTGTCCTAGGTGTAGTAGTTCCACTTGTACTTCCATTAGATGTATTATCTGATTCAAGGTTAGTTATATTATTGTATGAAATAAAGTAAAAATCGGCATTCTGTTTGGCCTTCATATAAGGTTTCATACTGTCATAATATGACTTTGTAATTGTTGTTATATCAATATTGTGTATAGGTTTTAGCTGCTTGGTACTGATATCAACTATGTTGTTTTTTGATGAAGATAGATCAAAAAGGACTGATTGGCTAGGGTCTTCATATTCACATACCCATTGGGATGGGTAGTCGACCAAGTTGGGGATTTTGCCAGATTTGGTAATATCACTATAGAAGAGGAAGTTATCGGCATACTCTTGGATTGAGAAGTTAACAGTAAAGATAAGTTTGGACCAGTCTCTAATCGTAATGTTGACAAATTTTTTAGTGTGTTCTGAAGCTAGAGTTGTGGGTGTTGTCTGGGTAGGGGACTCTTTTTGTTCTGCTGGTCTGTGCTAGTAAGAAAAAATTCCTCCAGTAGAGGTAGAGCTTTCGGAGACCATAGTTTTGAGTTGAGTTTGAGACTGAGGAGAGCTTAATAATTCTTGTTTGATATTGTTTTTATGTAAAGTAAGGCTATTAGTTTGTTTTATATTAGTAGAGTATAGATGATCCTTAGAACCGCTTTCACAGGACGATAAAAAAATTAGTTTTCAGTCGATTTTAGTGTTTTTTGTCTTTTTCTCATAAACTAGTTATTCTTTTTCCAAAGTTGCATCTCTTTTAGGTAGATTAAGGGGTGCTGGATAACTTTACTTAAAAGCCGGGACTTAAGTTACTTAGTAAATTTTAGAGATATCGCTGCAGGAAAGTTTTTTCTTCTTGTTTTTATTTTGGTAAAGTGATCTATGGGGAGAGTTGGTATATTTTATTAATAGTTTCAAAAAACTTCTTAGCAATACAAACTTTTAATATTATGATTAGTTTAGTCGAATCTTTAATTCTTTTAATTAAGATTCATAGAGATTATTATAAGGATATACTTTACTACCATGGAAGCATAATACTGAATTTTGTAAACATATTTTTGGAGTTGTCCGTCAGTTTCGACTCGACTTTACTTTTTTAGAAATTTTACAAATGGTTCTGAAGATAAGTCAGTATTTTAGATCTATTCAATCAGATCATTTATTATTTCGAAAAGAAAAACAGTGCGTAAGAGTAAATATAAAATAAATTACTCATATAGGTCTTTGCCATAGCTTTATAGTATATATACTATTATTACTTATTTGATTTGAAACTTATTCAACTTGTTCTAGATTATGGTTTTAATGAATACGAAAAAATTAACCTTTTGGACAATGATCTTGAGCATTTATGCTATTGGCCCTCTGATATTGATATTGATGATGCAATTAATATTGGTTATAAAAAAACCATTCATTTAGCGAGGCATTTAGAAATGAATTCTATACCCAGTGATGCCTATTATTTTAATATCCACAAGAAAATTTCTACTTTCAACTTGAAGATTTTTGGAATGAAGATTTAAATCTTGAAACAGCTAATAATAATGAATATAATATAGATAATGGTTTATCTGTTTCTTATTGTATAAGCAATGCAATATCTGAAATGAATAGAACCCAAGAAATTAATTTAGATCCAGAGTCTAAACTTTTATTAGAAAAGCTTGTAAAGTACTTGTAAAACGGATTCAAAAATTATCTGATATTCATGGTTTCCAAGTGGTAAATAATTAATTTCTTTAATATTAAATTTTATTTTTTATATAAATAATTTAGAATTTTATCTTTATAGGTTCTAGATCTGAGTTTATTTTAGATAATGAGTTGTTAAATATTGAATTTTTGTTAAACTTACGCCAATGTTATGATGCTTATTCAAAAAAAAATCTTAAACGAATTAAATTTTCTTCTAAAAACAATAATGAAAGAAGCTTTCTAAATGGGTTTAATATTAATAAGGCTAGCAGTTTAGTGTCACAACTGACAAAAAATGATTTTATTTTAACTAAATCACGAGAAAACAGATAGAAATCAAGTGGAAATAATAATAATAATATAGTTGAAAAAAATCATTTGGGTAATTTATTTTTATTTAATATATTTAAAAATTAGGTTTATTTATTTTTTAATTATATAATTTTTGTTTTTTTAGGGAATCATTTATGCAATAATGTAGCTCTTTTTCTATTACGAATTGGGTCTTTTGTAATAGTTAAATTTAAAAGTATGTTTTATATTGCTCAAATTATTGCTATGTATGAATGAGATAGTTCATTTCATTTATATATTGACACTTCTGTCTTAGATCTTGAATCTCTTTCTTATGTATCTTTGAAAATTTTTTTTCATATTGATGGTGCAATTTTTTCAGCAATTCGTGATCAATTTTATATTTTTTCTCATGTTGAAGCTTTGCATATTGTTTATTATTTGGCTTCAAGTGATATTAGTATTAATGAGAAAGTATTAGTTCTTAAAGAACAGGCAAAAGGACTGTTTAATGCATTCAAGAAATAACAGTAATATCCTTTAATAATTAGTATTTTTTTTGAATTTAGAATCTATTATATTCAGATTACTAAATATAAAT